GTAATGGTGGGTCGAGTAATTGAGACTCGTGTAAGCGTTTACGAAGTTAGCACCGGCTCATCGACCCTCTTCTCATTTTCATATCTTTATCGTTCCCTCTCTCTCCCTCTCTCTCACTCTGGCTCCCCGCTCCTCGTTTCCTCTCTCTCCGTTGCTCTCGAGAGGAACCGCTATTGTCAGCGCCGGAGCATCAATCGTCCCCGCTGTTTAATCGACGTTGCAACCGATTTCCTCGAATCTCTCCCGCTTCGTGTCCTATTTTATGTGACAAACGCGTTGTCAACTTGGAACAAGGAACCAGAGAATTTGATAATTCTTCGACATCCTCGTTCCTTCCGTACACTTTCCTACCTTCAGTCAACTCGCCGATTAAGCGAACAAAGCGTGACTATCTGCCAGCAACGAGATTCGCTAGTGTACAAGAAACAAAAGAAAGGCAACACCGCTACACGGTATCTGTTCCGCGATTCCCCCGGCCAGTATCATCGAGACAGATGTTTCCGAGCATCTCGCGGAGTATGCTCGCGGATAACCTTGTCCCCGCAACCGGAACGCCTCGCGCCGCGGCTCCTTTATGAATGTAAATGTATTCCCGATCGTGCGATCAGATAGTTTAATATTAATAATAGAGCACGGCTACGGAGATTATCGCGGAGCTTCCGCGGAATTTGTCGGCGTCCGTGTCACGGCGATATGCATCCCCGATATCGGGGACCAATTACGGCCGGATTGAGTCATAACGATTCTGGTTATGTTAAACACCGAGTCCCTCGGCCCGTTTTCGCCGATACCCTAGTAGCGACGCCGCGCGGGCACGATATAAGATAGCGTGAAAGCATTCCACCCCGGCCTTTAATTGGATACTTGTCTTTCTCGGCTGTTTCGCGCGAGCCGCGGCCGCGTTAGTAGGCGCACACGCGAAACCGCGGCGTTATCGCGGCGAAACGCTCGGCCAACCAGACGCTCGCGATAGTCTGCCTTCAATAACGGGGCGTATTACATAAAGCCGGCTTTCAGTGGCCGGCCGTTGCCATTCTTCTCCTTTTTCCCTCTTTTTCCCACCCATTCCTCCCCATAAACCGCGCCGTTGCCCCGCGAGATCGCGTTCGCGTCTACGCGTCGGCGTTTTCTACGTTTCCAGCCGTGTTTACGTCTTAACTCGCCGATCTACGGCTTCGATCGCGGAATCTAGCCGGCGGATCTCGGGGAAATCGGGGAAATTGAAATACCGCGGCTGGTCGTGTTGGTTTTACGAGGATCACGGGAGTCGCTCGTTTCGGCCGGCCGTTCTTGCGATACGATACGGTTGGCCTATCGACTCGCGATCTGCGAGGAGTAATCTTGATTACGGTGACTCGTTCGTTGATACGTTCGAAGCTTTCTACAATTAGCTTATCGACGATTCGAACAATCGCGACAGAGGAGTCGCGAAACGAACAATGCGAGAGGGAGGAGAGAGGAATACGAAGGATATCCGCGCGCGACAAACGTCGTTACCGAAGTTAACGGGTTAATCGCCGGCGAATACGCGGTGCCGGATAGAAAACGAAAGGGGCGCGCGCGTCGAAAGGTAGGCGAGGTTTCCCCGGTAATTCCCATCGGTTCCAACGATACGTACTTACAGCCGCGGCTCGCCGTATTTCTTGCTTGACTTTAATATGAGGCTCGGCGCGTAAGTAGACGTTACATAAAATGGCAAATATCGGAAGGGCTTACGGCCGTATTATGCCGACGGTGCGGCTTTATTGCGCGACATTCTCCCGGCG